GGGGCTAGCGTAGGTCACCGATCAGCAGACAGAATCACAGGGGCGAGACGAGAGGGAGAAATCCAAGAAAACAGGCAAAGATCAAAAACAGGCTAGGCAAGGCAAAACAAGGAAAACACGGAGACTCGGAAAGGGGTACAGGCTAAACAATACTCAGCCGAGAAAGGTGGTTAGAGTGGGTGTTATATGGTGAATGAGGTAATTAGAAACAGCTGTGTGCAATGAGTGCAATCAGGGCAGTGTGCAAATTGTGCAAAGAATGATGGGAAATGTAGTCCGGGGTGCTATGCAACAGTTTGTGTAGTGCGAGAGTCAATGTAATGGAAAGGGTGACATCTGGTGGTGAATAAACGGAAGTCCATGAACCGAATTCGTGACAGAAGTTGGGCGTTGCTAACAAAATGAAGGCAGAAACGAGACAGACCAAGATAACCCCACCCTCAAGCCATAGCACATGACAGGAAGAGAAGAGAAGTCGTTTCGAGGGGGGAGGGAAGGTTAACGTATTTGATTAAAGATTATGAGAGCACATTCATTTTTAAAAAATAATGAAGTGCACAGATAAATCATTTATAATAAACAGTACAATATTACATATAAAATAAGAATTGTATATTTTGATTTCATGGCGACTTTAATACACAATAGGCCGTGAAAAAAGTACTCCGAGTGGTGCATAAAGACTACAGCCATGGCCAAAAGTTTTGAGAATGACACAAATATTAATTTTCACAAAATCTGCTGCCTCCGTTTTTATGATGGCAATTTGCATATAATCCAGAATGTTATGAAGAGTGATCAGATGAATTGCAATTAATTGCAAAGTATCTCTTTGCCATGAAAATGAACAAAAAAAACATTTCCACTGCATTTCAGCCCTGCCACAAAAGGACCAGTTGACATCATGTCAGTGATTCTCTCGTTAACACAGGTGAGAGTGTTGATGAGGACCAGGCTAGAGATCACTCCGTCATGCTGACTGAGTAAGAATAACAGACTGGAAGCTTTAAAAGGAGGGTGGTGCTTGAAATCATTGTTCTTCCTCTGTTAACCATGGTTACCTGCCAGGAAACATGTGCCATCATCATTGCTTTGCACAAAAAGGGATTCACAGGCAAGGATAATGCTGCAAGTAAGATTGCACCTAAATCAACCATTTATCAAATCATCAAGAACTTCAAAGAGAGAGGTTCAGTTGTTGTGAAGAAGGCTTCAGGGCGCACAAGAAAGTCCAGCAAGTGCCAGTACCGTCTTCTAAAGTTGATTCAGCTGCGGGATCGTGGCACCACCAGTGCAGAGCTTGCTCAGGAATGGCAGCAGGCAGGTGTGAGTGCATCTGCACGCATAGTGAGGCGAAGACTTTTGGAGGATGGCCTGGTGTCAAGAAGGGCAGCAAAGAAGCCACTTCTCTCCAAGAAAAACATCAGGGACAGACTGATATTCTGCAAAAGGTACAGGGATTGGACTGCTGAGGATTGGGGTAAAGAAATTTTCTCTTTCTGATTGTTTTGGGCATCTGGAAAAAAAGCTTATCCGGAGAAGAAAAGGTGAGCGCTTCCATCAGTCCTGTGTCATGCCAACAGTAAAGCATCCTGAGACCATTCATGTGTGGGGTTGCTTCTCAGCCAAGGGAGTGGGCTCACTCACAATTTTGCCTAAAAACCACAGCCATGAATAAAGAATGGTACAAAAACATCCTCCGAGAGCAACTTCTCCCAACCATCCAAGAACAGTTTGGTGACGAACAATGGAGCACAATGGTTCCCCAAGTGGCTCGGGGAACAAAACATCAAAATGTTTGTTCCATGTCCAGGAAAGTCCCCAGACCTTAATCCCATTGAGAACTTGTGGTCAAACCTCAAGTAGCAGGTGGACAAACAAAAACCCACAAATTCCGACAAACTCCAAGCATTGATTATGCAAGAATGGGCTGCCATCAGTTAGGCTGTGGCCCAGAAATTGACTGACAGCATGCCAGGGCGAGGTCTTGAAAAAGAAGGGTCAACACTGCAAATACTGAGTCTTTGCATAAACTTAATGGAATTGTCAATAAAAGTCTTTGACACTTATGAAATGCTTGTAATTATACTTCAGTATACCATAGTAACGTCTGACAAAAAGATCTAAAATCACTGAAGCAGCAAACTTTGTGAAAATTAATATTTGTGTCATTCTCAAAACTTTTGGCCACGGCTGTAGAACTCTCATCAACAGTATAAATGGATGAACTAATACCATACCTGAAACAGGACACTTTTAAAATAATAGTCCCTCTGCACTTCGTGCTTCCACACGCACACACACACTTTTTTTGACAAGGGGACGGGCATGACCTGTGAATGACGTAGACATAATGCCAGCAGGGCTCACTCATACATTATTAAAAATATAGTTCACCCAAAAATTATTTACTGACTCTCAAATTGTTCCAAACATGTATGAGTTTTTTTTATTCTGTTGAACACAAAAGCTCTGTTTGGTGAAGCGGTCATAGAATGTAAAAATAAATAAAACATGTTTAACATGTTTTCCCCCATAAATGTATACATATGGTCAGGCAATTACCAGTAAAAGTATTTTTGTACTAAACTGTACTAAAATACTTAAATACTTTATTATCTTTATGCTTTATGTAATATATTTAATCTTTATTCCTGATATCTTTATTATTTATGTTTATAGTATCTTTATTTTGTTAAATTCCTTTATTAAAAAAAACATTAAAGACACATTTTTTATTAATAATTTTATATCATTGTTTCCACATCCTTCCAAAGCAATCTTGAAATCTTTCCAAGACATGTTTGACATAAAAGCAAAAATTGATTGAAGTTTGACAATATGATCTGACATTGTTTCGCCAAAGCACTACTCCTGGTGGAATTGTAGCAGGCCTATCTGTAACACAAAATAAAATGAAAATCTCTTTTGGATTTATGAAAGATTGGTGGCAGTGATGAGCAATAGCTAGTAAAACTGTTGACCTGCCAATTATAAACATTAGTCCTAAAATTTTAACATAATAAACAAGTTGTTTACCATTCCACTAAAAAAAAGTAAAAATTTCTGTGTATATTTTAATCATAAATTGAATATAAGTTGTTTATTTGTGTTACTAAAAGGAACAATGTGCATATGATTGTTTAGACAATGGCTTGATTTTCCCAATGCATAAACATAAATAGATTTTGAGACAGAATGGCTTACTACATGAGTCCCTACATATCACAACAATCATTTATTTTGATCAGGCTGTAGAATTACTAATAATTTTGGTTACTTACATGTTGTGGTAGTGTCCATATTTCACTGAAAAGCGTGTGTCCAATTATGACTGTGACCATGATCACGCACTTCATTGAAAAATAAACAGTCTTTTTGATCAAATCCTTTGGAAGGTATGCAGAGACGTTATTCTTTCACAACTAAAAACTGTTTGTGGTCTAACAAGGAAGTTTTGAGTTCTGAAACTTACAGTTTGGTTTTATTGCAAAATGAATCTTATGTGTCAAAAGAGCAGGGAATTTTTTTATTTCTCAATTCATGACCCCTTTAAGTGGTTTTAAATGTGTGCAGTCACAATTGGTTAAGTTTTGTTCTTGTTTCAATTCATGTCTTTTATTATGTTATGTCTTTTAGTTTGAAGTTTATTCCTGTTCATAGTCCAGTCTTGTTCATTGTTTCCTGTCCCTCAAGTTTCCCTTTCCTGTCTTGATTGTGCTCAGGTGTTCCTTGTTTGTGTCAAGGAAGTTCTGTTGTGTGTTCATAGCTGGTTTCCTTTTGTCTGGTGCCTAGATGTGGCTTTTGTGTAACTCTCTTCTTTGGTGAGTGTCTTGTTTTGGGATTTGTCAAGTTAAAGTCAAGTTTAGTTTGTGTCTAGAATTTGGTGTATTGTTTTTTGTTTTTGTATATCTTTTTAAAAATAAATAAAGCACTTGAATTCTTGTATTGAAAGCTGGTATTGTTGCAGGTAAACTAGCTTAACTTGTGTAGGAATGATGGGTGACCAGCTGAAACCAGCACAAATGTGTGAAAAGGTACCTTATATTGGTTGCCAGTAATAGTTTTAAGTGGTCTTTTAAATGGATAATCCACCCAAAAATACAAAACAAGCATCGTAATTTTTGGGTAAACTATCCCTTTACGTTTGTTACTAGCAGCAGTGTTTCCCACAGTATTTTGGCAGCCCTCAAGCCCTTAAGGGGGACAATTTTAAATAAATTCATCAATCTGGTTCACTTTGAGAAATCAAGAGCTTCAACCCTTTTTCAGTAATCCGTTTGAATGGGGTTTCATAAAACCTTTGCAATTACTTGTATCTGGACTTTAAAGTGGACTTAAACCTCACTTTAGTTGATAGTGTCTTAGTCCACATTACATTCACACTGTTATTTTCTAGAAGACAATCAAGACAGAAATGTTAAGTTTATTTGGTTACAGGAGCAATGCACATTAACATTACTGTAAATGTGCCCGAATTAAACCCTTGACAGAATGTAAAAAATGTCACCCTTTTTAACCTGAGAGTTATGCAAATGTGAAATTAAAGTGAATGGTACACATTGCATTCTCAGATGTAGGCTAAACTCACAGCACATGTATAGAGATGAAGTTTCCAGTATTAACTGAGACCGTAAACCATGAACTGCACGTGTGTAAATAAAACCGTTGCATAGCTTCACTCAGAATCACACAGCGCAACAAACTGTATACTTCTAAAATTAAATCACAGTCTTTTGAATTCTGATAATTGCGCTAAGCCATATCACAATTTTAATTCGATTGACAGATGCTTGCCAAAGCAATGGCACCAAACACAATGTTAGAGATCTTTTATGAGATTTGTTTTCAGCTCATTATGAAACTCAGGCAGGCCACCACAGTCTAGCAAACTAATGGGAAACACTGACCTGAACTAGCCTTTTTTTTCAGTATGGGGATGATGAACTGATATGAAGAGTGTGTATTATATGTAACCTTTCTCTTCTCTGCACCCACAGGCTATTTTGAGTGGTGCCATGACCAGTCAGGGTGGTGACCATGCAGACACACTAAACCCCCCTTCTTCATCCTCCTCCTCTTCTCGGTCCTCAGCAGCCCGTAAGCTGCAGGTGCAGCGCTCGCTCTCCCGAGATACCATCACCATACGCTTTTCCGCCAAGGGAAATGAGGAAGAGGAGGAGGAAGAAGAACTCTACAGGCTAGCTGTTTCCCCTTCTGGCCTTGAAACTGAAGATCAGACTGTAGTCACTGCACAGGAGGCCAGCGAGGAGCTTCTCTCTGAAGGACTGGAAGCGGACATGGTTGCAGGACTGTCATCCCAGACCCACAGTTCTGCCCTGGCTATACAGCACCCTTCCATCAGCCAGGGTTGCACATCCACTTCTGGTCTTGCTAGCTTCTCATGGCCCTCTGAACAGAGGTCGACTGCCTCAGTACCTTCTACCCATTCAGCTTCCTCCAGCTCATCCCCAGCCAAGGTCTCTGGCCTTCCCTCAAAGCCCTTCCTCAGCCTAATCAAGTCCCTTTCCACTGAGGTGGAATCTCGTGAGGTTGCTCCCCAGCCGATAAGGCACCGGCATTTGATGAAGACCCTGGTTAAGTCTTTGTCCACAGACACTGCTCGATCCGAGCAGGAGGCTTCATCGTCTCATTGGCCCTCAGATTCCCGGCTCAATCTGCACCTCTTCAAACCTTTCACCCAGACTCGTGTTCCTGCTGTCAGTGGAGACTCCAAAACTGCTCCCTCATCCCCCCTCACCTCACCCGATAGCCGCTCCTTCTTCAAAGTTCAGGAGGTGGAGGCACGTATTGAAGACACAAAGCGGCGTCTGTCAGAGGTCATGTGTGAGCCCCTTCAGCTGCTCAGCAAAATCATTGGCGAGGAACCTGGTGGCATCAGCGCAAACACTTCCACAACTGCAGGAGTCTCTTACCGGTCCAGGAAACTTTCCTCCAGCGCCTCTGAACTCTCCAACCTGTCTGCCCTCAATGGCCACTCAGAAAGCAACAATAACTATTGCATCAAGGAAGAGGAAGACCTGGAAGGAGAAAGTCCTCTTGAGGGGCCAACTGTTGAGCTGCCTTTGCACAAATCACCTTCTCTGGGCTTGGACAGGTGTTTTATGTCAATGCTTGCTCGTCAAGAAGACGAAGAGTTTTGCGAGCTCTACACTGAAGACTTTGAGCCCTGCACTGACACAGAGTTAGATGGAGAAGAGCCTTATTCATCCCAAGTTCGACGAGGAAGCACAGGGGGATGCAGTGAGGAACCAACTGAAGGAGGGGAAGAGGAGGAGGAGGAGGAGGAAGAAGATGAGCCTCCAGGAGTACCCCACAATGCGCTGATTCTTCTTATATCTCTAGTTTACGGTTACTTTGTGTTACCACTTCCTACATATGTGTGTTGGGTTTTGATGGGAGTGGTGGCAGGTTTCGTACTAGCTATTCTGGTGGTGTGGTTGTCAGCAAGAGGCAGATCTTCATGTGGCCGTCATGGCAGCTGGAGCAGAAGAGAGAAATGGAACAGGGTTCCTCTGGATATCAAAGAACCAGCCATCCACAAGGTGGGTTCCACCCTGCTGCTGAAGATGATTCTGGTGCTGTGGATAATGGTGTAGTTTTGAAGAGCTAGACGTTTACCTGGCAGCTTGCCAATATTTGTGTCTATGCTTTTCACCATGCTTTACTGAGATATTTGATCATACCAGTTATATAATGCCTGGCATGGAAAATGTCATTATATTCTCAGATCTCCAAATGCTAAAAAAAAAAGCATAATAATAGCAATGAGTATTAAGTCTATCTTCCATATGCCATAGTGCTCACAAGGAATCCAAATTTTATTTTTCAGAAAGTACATTTGCTTGTTTTTTAAATGTCTCTCCACTCCAACAGTCTGTTGTTGTTGACAGTTACTTAATTTTGCTAAGCCTAGCTATTATGACTTTTCTTATGTGCATAGACTGCTTCCTGAGTTGACACTTGACTGTTCATTAAAGTTGTACTAGGGTGAAGATTGTTAACCAGAGTCTTAAAGGAGGTTGTTCAGCTACAGAAAATGGCTGAGGTCTTCAAAAAAAAAAAAAAAAAGCTGATAACCAGCTTATCTAGTGTGGCCTGTGACCTTGCTTGGCCTCTCCTGATAATGAAATTATCTGGTCAGTTCTGCATTGCTTGCTTGAAGTGGAAGATGGTCACATGATTGTCACACTTTGATAGTCACACTAGGTCATGGTGTATGTTGCTGATGTCATGTTTCAGTGCAGGACAACCCCTGTTTATGAGAAATTAACAATATAAACTAGGGTGTCACATGATAGCACACCTTTAAGCTAAGCTTAAAAAAAAAAAAAGATCTCACTGTGTACACTACCATCATGATTTAGAGAAGATTAATCTTTGTCTGGCCAACTGAGATTTCATTTTGGTTATAAAGGTTAGGTTCATGATATTTTTTCAGTAGTACTACAGCACACAGTGAGTGTATATTAGTATCATTTGTAGTTTACTTGTTTGGAGACAGTGACGTTATGTCAGAATGAGCTACTTTATAGCAGCCAGGAATGCTCATAATCAGGCTTATTATCATCACCGTCACCACTTAATCTGTAGCCATTTCTCTAAGCTGAACTGAAGCAAAGAGGCACCAGATTGTTTTTGGTAAAGATTTTTGGTAAAGCTGTTATCCTTATCATTGACTAGGTCCTTGATTGACTCCTGAATTAAAATCTTACAAATGAAGAGGTTTAGAACATTCAGGGATGTTTTTACAAAAAAAACACAATTTAATTAAGCTGAAAAAAGTTAAAATCTATTTATTTATTTTTATTTTTCCAGCTCAAGAGCGATAACAATCAAAATTCATCCAATTAAAAAAAAAAGCACATGCTGCAGTGCATGCTTAGAATAAACAGAAAGTTGTTGTCTTTGGTGGATGCTAAAACCATTACTTCAGTTAAAATATTTCTATATATGTATTGTTATAGTTTTTAACCTGACTGATTAAGTGGAAGAGAGTAATGTGTGGTACGGGTACATTGTTACAGGCTGTAAGGCTGAGCGTTGTCATTTTGCCTGAGCGGTGTAATATTATCAGGCCTACCTTTGTTCATCTGACTGCCCATCCTTCAGCCTACAAATGCAGTACAGTCCTTCCTCATACTTGATTACTTAACAGTGCTGTAATTAATTTAATTTTGGCCTTGTCATTTTTATTATTTTTTTTAGTAAGATTTATTTTTGGCATTTTTTGCCTTTGTTTTGATAGGACAGTTAGTTGACAGGAAGTGAAGTGCCAGAAAGAGAGGGGAGACTGGATCGGGAAAGGTCCCTGAGCCGGGACTCGGACTCGGGATGCCCGAAGTGCAACGGTGCTAAATATGTCAGCGCGCTGCCCACACGGCTATTGGCACCGACTCCTTGTAGTGTTTTTATTTACGTGTCCTGGTCAAGCAATGCTTTTCAGGGGTAATTTTCTCCATTTTGCCTTTAGGGGCCAAGTACTGAAGTGGTGTTCATAAGACTTATCAAATGGTTGAAAAAAAACTAATAATCACTTACTATTTTCTTTTTATATTGGAAAAAAACAAACAACAAAAACATTTAGAATGGATTGTTTTTGTATTCAGAATTATTCATAACATTTCAAGTTGAGAATGAACACATTTGTGGAAAAACTGCAATGTTTCTCAGAATGTGGAAGCTGTATATGGTGTGACATAATGGATAAAGGTCTGACATGTAGCCCAACAAATTAATGCAGTGTAGATTGTGCTTGGTCCCTTATTTACTACTTATTTTTCTTTTTTGTGGCCCAGTTGTTTCGTTGTAAAATTTCTGTGCTTATATACTCAGGGTTGGATGAATGAGATCTACAGCTATGACCCTGAGACGTATCACGCCACATTCACTCACTCTGTGTATGTGCGTCTGGAGGGCTCTGTCCTGCGACTGTCCAAACCTAACCGCAATATCCCCCGCCGGGCAACCTTCAACGAGCTCAAACCTGACGTCACCTATGTTAGCCAGAAAATCTATGATCTCACCAACAGTAAGGTGGGTGGTACACACGATCTCTCAGTGCACAACCTGTTTTGTTGTTTTAAATTTCTGCAATTAATTTAGCCCAGAGCACTTAATGTACAGGCCCCATTCAAACTTTATTTTTTTTTTTTTTTTTTTTTTTTTTTTTTTTTTAAATTAAGGTTT